GCAACAAAAGTTTCACCATGATAACATATTTCACGCATTTTCAATCGAGAATAATTGAAACGTGTTGCACTATCGATACTGCACGCGCCGAACTCTTTCGAGCAGCAAACAACCAACTTCGCCGGTAAATTGAACCAACAGGGACACGAATCGAAGGAAGACTGACTTTCCCGCGTCCAACGTGCGAAGCTTCAATTCCCCACCGGCCCGTGGCGCTACAGTCACAAGTACAATCCCAAACAAAAATTATCGCTCCTACCGATACGAAGCATCACATGACCAACGCAGGACATCCTGATATCGAAACTAGGAAACTTTGGTGAACCTTAAAGCCCAGAATTTCCGAAAAACCAGAAATTAAGATTATCCTGGCGTCACAAAAATACTTTCGGACCCATAAACTGTATTAAACTTTAAATTTTATGATAATGAGTTTGTTATTTTTAAATTAACTTACGTTTTATGATGTGACTCCGTATGTAAGAATATACCTTCGTTTATGAGAAACACATCGTCTTCATCTTCAGCACAGCCCTGAAGATGGACGTTTCTCCAAAACGTTAATCAATCTTTCCCAGATAATCTTTGATCTCCGCTCCTTCCAGAAATATTATTTTTATATTCAACTGTCAATTATCAATCTCATTCTACATTATGCTAATTTTTTGTTGGAAACAATTAATATTATGACAGAAATAAACCCAAAGCTTCTACTCCACAAACACCAAAACCATCAAATGTACAGGGGACCAGTTCCGTCCTCTTCCTAAATCATAAGATGAATCTTAAAATTGCCAACCTATTTCATGGTCGACCATCCAGTTGGCAGGTATGTAAACCTTTTCCCAACAAACGCTTGCATCCGAGCTACATGCCCAGCCCATTACAACACGACCTGTACAAATCACTAAGCGTCTCGTTTTATTCCGAACCGATCACTTCATGTAGGCGAGTAAGGTTCCGCTATGCAGTGGTAACGAGTTTGAAGTTGAAACATCATCGTTAAATACGCTAAGAATCAATCAATAAACAAAACAAAACTAAATAATTGGATCAGGCACTGCCACATTACTGAAGGGACAAACTTTCAATTTACCTACGATCCACGCTTCAAGTTGCTGAATCCTGGAAGCAATTTTGGCACACCCTTTACCCTCCGTCACGTAAACAAGCACCTGTATTTTGTCCACGGAGTGTCAATTTGTTCCGAAGGATTATCAGAATTAACAAAGATCATCTATGTGATAATCACTTATGTTTTATTTGGGGTACGGTGTGAATATTTAAACAGTATTCAGAACAGCTGTTAAGTAAAATTTTTCAAAATAAAGCAGGGACTGCACTTAGGGATCGCGTATTTGCATCAGGGAGGTTCTGTGATCAAGCCAAGATTTTTAACAGTAATGAAGTTTAATTAGTCGACATAAAAAGTAGATAAATCTGCCGTCATGTTTAAATATCGATGCCAGGAGGCGTATTGAGGCGTGCAGGTAAAACTCCACGCAGTATAAGCTCGGTATTAAAAGGAAGTACCTGTCTCTTCCCTGGTACCTAACGGGTCCAAGGCTACAATTACCCATAAGCCAGTCTGAACAGAGCGGTGCACAGAAAATCCCTAAGGAATAAACCCATAACCAGTGACATGACAAATTCCAAGGAACAGAGTCCTTGTTCAAAAGAAAAGGATGTGGAAGGAAGCGTTCGTGGCCTAATTTAAGGCAGTATCCCAAAATTTGTCTGCAGGGGTTGGGAAAACGAAAACAAAATAGTCTCCAAGCCTAAAATTTGAACCCAGGACCTCCCAAATAAGAAGTAGGGATAATAACCACTCAACCAAAATATTCAGTGGACTAAGAGTACAACTTTGCATATAATACAGGAGAACAACATTCTCATACTTTTCCAAAAGGCATATAATTCAACGAATACAACTGTTAGAACACGCATGAAAAAACTGTAAAAGAATTATTGCACACATAAAACCCAGTCTTATATATAATTTCTGTACGTCACTCGCTGCTACAACCACCGGATTCTAATTTTGTTACATCACGTTTCATGAACAAGCCGTGATTTCGCGTAAACTCTTCGCGTGCTACTCTGCAGCCAATCAACCAGGCACTCATTTTGTACTACATTCAGAATATTATTGGTTTATTGAGGAAATGGGATCAAGGCTACAGACGTACTTATCAAAATGCAATAAGGTTATTAAAAATGGCCACATGAAGTATGAACAATATGGCAGCTGACGTTTCTTAACCTCACAAAAAACATTTTTGTTGCAAACTCTCGCCATTCATTGGCCAGTACACACGTACCAGCTAAATACACGGTTATTACTAACGAAGTATGTACTTTAAAATCTTGCTTAATAATTTTCGAAGTAACGATTTTAAGAAGACGCGATATAAACAACTCCTAGAAGAGGATTTGATGGTGGAAGCCCTAAATCTGGTCCCGCTAAATATCTGACTCATAACTTGTTTTGAATCCTTTTATGAATTTATACATCCCACCCTAACCAACTGAGCTTTGAGGATCTGAAATATCTGTGAAGCCACAGTACCAAGCGTAAAAGATACCTTCGCAAATGTTTGGGAGAAATTCCTGTCATCCGGATGATGCCCGATTTACAAACAGAACACATAACGAGGTTATTATTGTTTTAGTTAGGTTTTCATTCACATCTGTTAAAAATAAAACTTTAAAAAAGTGTATACTTCATTTTAAATAACCCTGTACTTTTTCTCAAATTCAATATGGGACACATTTAGTTTGATTGTTTTTTTCCAATTTTTCAGCAAGAACAAAATTTATCTTGGCCTACTGAGTCCTTAATGAAACAATAAAATGTAATTATATTCAAAAATAAAAGCACTCGTTTGCCAAGAAATACGCATTTCACTCTCACAAACACAGAACACTTCTAAGAAAACATAAGGCAAAAATCTGCGGTTAGCTAAATGACACTCGGGTATACCGCAGGATTGGAGGAAAAGCTCCATTCATTCTTAACCTCGACAATAACAGAGGCGAGTGGTCAGCTTCTCGTACAAACACAAAGATTCCTCTCTCTCTCTCTGTGCAACAAATTTCTAAAGTTGCTTTTCGTAGCCGCACCTAGAAATTAAGGCTGCCGAAGTGTTTAGCTGAACATTCACCTAGGTCTAGAATACCTACCTCCATCTGCTTCTTATCGCCCTAGAAATCTGACGTCCACTAAATTTTTTATTAAAATACAGCAAAAAGGTCTCATTGCATTCCACAACGTCAGATATCTTAACACGTCGATGTAGGCCATGGGCGGGCAACAATTTTTGGGCGAGGGCAACAGAAAGGATATTTCACGTAACCATAACCAAGAAATCAAGAGTCATAAGCGACGATCAAATTCACTTTTCCTCAGCTGCGTATACAAAAAGTTCTCATGGGCAATTGAAAACACTACAACCAGCGCTTGGGCGCCTGGCGATCCTCGACAGAGGCCACAGAAAGAATGTAACTTGACTATTAACCCACAAGAACACATTCAAATTACATCACGTAGCATTGCCGTAAGAACGAAACCCTAGCATAATTTAAAAAAAGAACTACTACGATGAAGATGACCAAGAAATATGTGAAATAAGACGAACACAACCCCACTTAATGACACCTGCACCTTGTCGTGGTAGTGGGGACGAGTACCTCAGTGACCCCAAGAGCTACTGGTAGGGCCTCCCTAGCCGGATTGGTCGAGGGGGAGAGATCAGACTAAGTCAGGTACCCTGGTCCTCCAGGTCAGGGGTTGGTCGCAAGGCTAACAACCTTGCACCGTAAAAAGGAAGAAGTTTCGAGACCTCGATCAAAGCCTCGGACAGACGGACCTAACAGAGGACCGAATGGAAGAGGAGAATTGAGGAGGTAATGGACCAAATACGGACCAGAGAGCCATAGAAGAAGACGTGTTTAAAACAAATTAATGTAAAAGTTGAGAAATAAAGGAACATATAAGAAAGACGAGAGAGATCGAAATGGAAATGACACCAGATACCTTACCCACAATGTGAATTTCCCCAACGTACTCTCACTACAATGCAGATCGGACATGATTACACCTCCTACCAATGGACAAGGGACTTCGAAGAAGAAGATCGGATGATAACATTAAAATGGATCTTGCGGAAGTATAATAATAAGAAGGGGAGTAGATGGAAATAGCTCAGGGTCTTGTTCAATGGTGAGGCCTGACAGAGGTAGTCTCGCACCGCTCGGACTTTACTACGACAAAGTTATTTAAAGAAGGTGGTGATCAGTTGGAGGACGCAGGATGTTTCAGAAATACACGGCACCGCATTAGAGACATAGCCTCTGCACAAAAGCAACAAAAAGTGTATGTGTAAACACGGCCCCTTGGACGCTTCATTTTGTAGCTATGGCCCGTTTGAAAAGTACCAAGTGGTGTTCATCGAGCCATCTGAAATTTACCGTAAACGCTATGGCGTTTAATGACGTAGCACAACTACGACAGAACGTAGCAGAGAGATAGACGCAACTTCATTAATAACACACCTGGATTTTTTTAATGTGCACAAAAATCATCATTGAGACACGCTGCACTGCGTGGAAGCGCGAGGAGAACATTTCAAGCTCTCCGCCCCATCCAGAAAAGTAAACTGTAATATTTAAATGACTGATTTGTACAAAAACACTTTCCTTTTATGGGATTAGAATTTATTTTTATCCCATTCGTTCCGAAATAAAAAGGGCCACACGTCAAAAATGAACCGTCCAAGGACATGTTTACAAAGAATTTTTAATTTTATTTTGTGCATACAACACACTCGTAAACTGACGCCCTGTATTTACAATTTAATGCGGGATCCATACCACAATTCAAGGGAGAAAATCTTGAGTTACCAACATTTACGACATTCTTACCGAGTCAAGGGCGAGGATTAAAAAATAAACAGCTGATCTAAAACACGCAGTTGGTATGAAAGAAAAGTATTTCAATCTGCATCTCCATATCTCACATAATTTGTATTTAAAAATTTTACAAAGTAAATGCTACTTTCAAAATTAGGTAGAATTTTCTGAAAAGTTTGTAGTAAACAGAAAATCATTAGCACAGACAAAAATTCTAAAATCTTGGACCCTTCATGGCATTAACATCTGATAATGCTTTTTTACATGACACTGCCAACGTTTAGAGTCAAAAATTACCATTCACCTCTTTCTCCGCTCCCTCTTCTGCTCTAACGAATGAAGTTTTTAGCGCAGATAAAATATCTGCGGATGCGTTCTGCATATCTTCGGTGCCATAATCAGTGACCATATCAATTTCGACTCTCCAGCTTTATACAGCGTCTCAAAATGGTTGCGTGATATTCAAAGAAACATTTCAGCTAGGTGAACTGAAACAAACACATACAGAATGATCCAAAAAGATGTATATATACATTTATTAAGGAATATTAACCTCGTGTGTGTACATCTTTTCAGGACACGATCTAATGACGACGTACGTATGGCTTTAATATTTCATCGCTGATGTACTTGTAAATGTAGGCCGAATGAGACAGGTACAGGAATTTGAAGGATACGGAAACCTGCTGCAGTATTTCAATAAATATTGTTGACCTGAGACATCCTGTAAGTCAGTGGTCCCCAACGCGGCGCCCGCCAAGGCTTTTCTTGGGTGCTCGCGTCGTTACGGAAAGAGTTTATACTGAATAATGAAGGCCATTCAACCATGAACATTATTAAATCAAAGCGCAGATCTCGACTTACTGATGCCCATCTTGACGATTGTTTTCGAGCAGCAACATCATTGTACACTCCCAATTTTGAAAAACTAACCGATGAAATGCAGCGCCAAACATCACACTAACTTCACACTTGAATAATAATAATTGCACTTATTAAACTACGTATTTCTGATTGCGCGGTTTCTTGTATCATTAGACGTCGTGTTGTTTTGCGTATTATTCGGTGTCCATATCTTATTTGTCCAGAGAAAAGAAAATTTGGCTTTGTTAATTGGTTGGTGCCCGCCACGATCTCGTAAACTCTCAAATGTGCCCGTAGGCACAAAAAAGGTTGGGGACCACTGCTGTAAGTAATCACTAAATTCTGAGCCCTTTGCTCTGATCTGACAATCCTACCAGTTCAGTAGAAACGTAAACACCCTTTTGTACAATATATGTGCAGTACATGAACCTGTTCACGCCAAGTGACATCATTTTGTAAATCAGGACATGCAGCCATATTAACAAACCTTTGACGTCTCGTGCGAATTGCGGCACTCCGACGCGGCGGTACTCGATCTCTTACTCGCGGTAAGAGAACCCACCGACAAGTCCCGTTTCTTTTTCTCGTCACTCGAATCACCAGTGTCAAAACCCGAATCATCCTGATCACCATTTCCTGGTGACATTATGTCACTAATCTTACTCTTGATGGTGGGCTTCATAAGAGGAAGGCAAAACTCGGTACTTGACAGGTCTGTTTTGCGTGCCGTGTACGAATGGTGGTTGATCGTCTCCAATATGCACTTCATGAGGCTGTCAAAGAAATCTGGATAGCCGTCGTAACCTGTGAAGAAAAACGAAACTCGTGCCATAACCAAATAATATTAGTGGAATGAATATGTTATCTCTGCTGAAAGGAGAAACAAGTTAGCGATGACGGCCGGTCGGAAGGATCTTATTGATAAGAAATCAATTTACGTGGTACTGAGAAATATGAACATTTTGAATCACCTGGATACTCATTGATATCAATGATTCCGTATCGTCCACTGCCATTTTCAATAATTATATCAATTCCCAACAGCGACATCCCAAGCACTTTTCTCAAAGTGTAGACAATTCGCTGTACTTTTGCAGGGTCAGGACGAGGAGTCGACAACGTCATGTCGCTCGGATCCAGAATGCTCAGGCTGGAAGTGGAATCTGCTTTCGAAACATCGTGGCTGTGAAAAAAGATTGCCTCACGATCTGAAACATCAAAGAAACACACATACATGCTTACATTCTTCAGCCATGGCACAATTTCCTGATGAGTATCGCTCGGTCTAAAAAAAAGAAAATATTTCTTATAAGATGTGAGATTCGTACCGCTCGGGTAAAAGTTTTTCAGCGACGGCCGCTCCACGACAAAGTATTCATCTCCTACCATATATATTTTGTACAAGAGAGCGTTGTGATTGATGAAACTTTGCGCGACACATGGCAGATGGCAATCCTTTACACCATTCTCATTGAATATTACTGCCATCTGGAACAATAAAAGTTAAATGTTTCAACATTCTCAACACATTTAATAATAGACTAAATTAACGTTCAAGAAAACTTCGTTACGACATCAGCATGATTATGAACTTATACATAAAATTCAGCAAGAAGTAAGACGCTGTACGTACCTCATGCGCGCTGCTGGAACCATGAGAGACTGATGGTTTACAGACTGCAACAGAAGAGTATTCACATTATGACAAACACGCGTCAAGAAAAACAAAAAAATGTAATCAAAACTGCAACTCTGAAGAAACATAAGCCCCCCCCCCCCCCCCAC